GCTGCTGCACTTCTGCGGCAGGCCTCGACCACACAAACTCCGGAAGCTCCAGCGTATGCTGCAGCAGCAGTAGCAGCAGAGGAAGCAGCTGCGGCTCTTGCGCCAGTTCTTTGGGGGAAGGCAGCAAATGCCCTTCCGTCATCAGCAGCAGCAGCCGCTTCTGCCACTGCAGCAGCAGCTGCTGCTCCAGGAGGATGCACTGGAGAATCTCCCGAGGGGGTCCCTGGAAGCAATGCTGCTGCTGCAGTGTCTGCTGCAGCAGATGAGAGTCTGCAAGATGGCTTCGCTGAGCAGCCTGTGGAAGTTTCAAGTCGGGGCCGGCCCCGCCGGGGCCGCGGGAGGCCCCCCAGACGCAGGGGCCCCACAAGGGCTCTTAAGAACGGGGCGGCTCCTGCTGCAGCAGCTGCAGCAGCTGCAGCAGCAGCCGGCACTCCAGCTGCTCGATTTGGCCCCTATTCTGTCCCCTCTTTCGGGGCCCCGTAGAGCGGCTTGCACAGCAAACATGGCACTCTTCTCTCTGTACGTCTTGCGGCTTCCCCTGCAGCAGCGTGTGCTGCTGCAGCTACGATTGCCGTTCCTGCTCGCCCTGCGATTGGTCGACTTTTGCTGCTGTTCTTGCTGCTGTTCGATCTACTACATGCGCGACTTAAGAGCTGCTTCCAATGCAGCAGCTGCCCCCCTGCTGCTGTTATGCAGGCAGCTCGTGCCGTTGTTGCTGCTGCTGCTGTGTGCTGCAGTCATCTGGAAGAGCTGCAGCGAACAGCTGCTGGGGTCCGTGCCGCCACAAGTGGTGCTGCTGCTGGCAGTTTGCTGCATTCCAGTGACACTGAGACCGCATGCGTTTTTTTGCTGCAGCAGCTCCAGCGGGTCTTCTGCATATCTCGCCTAGATTACATCTCTTATGCGTCGCACATAAACGCCCTCAGAGAGCTGCAAGGCTCTCCCCACGGGAAAAAGGGTTCAGCCCAGGGGGGCCCCACTACTCAGGAGGGCCCCCCTCTCGAGGCCCTCCAGCCGGGTCCGCAGCCCTCCTGGGGAGAGCCCGGTGACCCTGTGCCTTCCCTTTCTCGTCTTTTGCTGCTGTACAGACACCCGGAAGCAGGGGGAGCCGCGCTGCAGCTTCCCTGGCTGCACACGGAAGCCCGGAAGGGGGGGCCCCTCTGCTTCCCTGACACTGACGGGGGGCCACGGGGCCCCACTAGGGGCCCTGTTGCTGCACCGCGGCTGCAGCTGCAGCACAGGGGCTCTCTGGGGCGGCAGCGAACTCAGCTGCCGGCCCCCTTTTTGAGTGCTGCATTCCGCAGCAGCGTTGCTGCTGCTGCACTTCTGCGGCAGGCCTCGACCACACAAACTCCGGAAGCTCCAGCGTATGCTGCAGCAGCAGTAGCAGCAGAGGAAGCAGCTGCGGCTCTTGCGCCAGTTCTTTGGGGGAAGGCAGCAAATGCCCTTCCGTCATCAGCAGCAGCAGCCGCTTCTGCCACTGCAGCAGCAGCTGCTGCTCCAGGAGGATGCACTGGAGAATCTCCCGAGGGGGTCCCTGGAAGCAATGCTGCTGCTGCAGTGTCTGCTGCAGCAGATGAGAGTCTGCAAGATGGCTTCGCTGAGCAGCCTGTGGAAGTTTCAAGTCGGGGCCGGCCCCGCCGGGGCCGCGGGAGGCCCCCCAGACGCAGGGGCCCCACAAGGGCTCTTAAGAACGGGGCGGCTCCTGCTGCAGCAGCTGCAGCAGCTGCAGCATCTGCAGCATCTGCAGAGGAGGAGGGGGCCCGCGAGAGCGACAGCAGCGAGGACTGGGTACTGCCCAAACGCCAGAAAAAGAAACGCAAGGCAGAGGCCCCCAGAAAAAGCCCCGGCCCTCAGGGGCCCCGAAGGGGCCCCGGAAGGCCCCGTAAGCAAGGGGGCCCCCCACAGCAGCAAGCGGCATCCCAGCAGCTCAACACTGGTGCAGCAGGGGAATCCGCAGCTGCACAAACAGCAGCAGCAGCAGAAGCGAGGGAGCCCGCTGCTGCTCACTCCCGAACTGCAGCTGCCTCCACCGACAGTGGTGCTGCAGCCCCCACAAGTGCTGAGTGTGCTTCCCGAGGAGCAGCAGCGGCAGCATCAGCTGCATTGGCAGCAGCAGAGTCAGCGGGCTCAGCAGCATGCACAGACTCAGCAGGTGATGCACATGCGGCTGCTGCTGCTGCAGGCACGCTGATGGACGTGGAACTATCGGCAGCAGCAGCTCCAGCAGGAGCAGCAGCAGCAGACAGCCAGTCAGCAGCAGAGACAGTAGTTCACGGCGAGGCTGATGCTTTCCTAGATTTGTTTGGGGAGGAAGCTGCAGGTACACAAGGTCTGAATTCGCGGTGATGCCACGGCGGCTGCTGCAGCGGGCCGCCGCCATGCCAGCAACAGCAGCATCGGCAGCAGCAGCATCGGCAGCAGCAGCTGCTGCACAGCTAGTTCGCAGCCAGCGCTGCTGCGGCAAAACGCAGCACTACAGCCCCTGCATGCTGCTGAGGGCTTAGTTAGAAACCGCGGGTGTGCAGGTTTTATTTCTTCCTTTTATACGGCTCGCTCACATCCCCCCGAGCCAGCCCCCGAAAGGGGAAATGAGTGCTTGTGGCGCCCCCGCAGGGTCACCTTGGGGAGCATTTGAATGCCAAATGCCTTCAGTTTTGTCTCATTTGTCTACCCCTGCCCCTCAGCTCCCCCGTAGTCCCCGGCCATGCACTGCTGCTGCTTCTAGTGCTGCTGCTGTAGCTGCCACAGCGGATGCTGCTGCCGCCACTGCTGTTGTTTCAGTCCGGCTGCCAGACAATGGGAGTGAGAGAGAGCCTTTCAGATATGTCCACCGGGCTTCGCAGCTCGCAGAGAAGCTGGGGGGCCTGCATTTCCCGTGCATCTGCACAAGTTCCCTGAAAGAAGTTGAGAAAAGTGAAGGTTACGCCCTCACACGGCTGTCTGTGTGCTAATGGCGGGCGAGCTGCAGCCCAAACTGTGAGGAGTGGGCGCCACAGAGCCTTGTCGTGGACGGCTCTCTGCGTTATAGCATTGTAAAAGTCATTAGTGTGGATGAAAAGGTATAGTTGAGGGGCCGAGGGACAAAAAACAATGAGGCATGGGCCACATCGGCTGAGGCCCGCCTGGCTGTGTGACCAGCGGTCCCATGAGGGGGCTTCAGGGCTTTTCAATGTTTACACACTTCCAAAAAAACAAACATTGAGAAGAAAGACGAGGAAATATCTTGCTGAATAGTGCATCAGCACTGAAATGGCATTATAGCAGCAGCTACATCAACTGTTGTGGCGGGCAGCAGCCAGCGCAGCGCGACAGATTGTGCGCCGATTTTAGATCTCTTGGTGCCGGTGTAGCTATTTTCACGAATTGTGTGGGTTTGTTAATACTAAATCAAGTCAAAAAAGTTATAAAGTTAGCTGTTTTCGTGGCTGTTTGGAGCTTGACGGCTCGCCGCTAGCAAGTGCCCCCCCCCCGTCATGCGTGGCTGCCGCTGACGGTGGTGGCAGCACACGGAGTTCGTTAAATATTTCTGTTTTCTCACACCTTTTCTTTCTTCTTTTCTCTTTTCTGTAGCCACTGTCTTCACATTTCTTCCTGAAAATGAGACGTGTGGCCGCTCCTGTATTGGTCCTCATCGCCACCTTGGTGGGAGGTACCATCGAGGTTCAAGGGAAGAAGGCGCCACCTGCCCCTAAGCAGGCTGAAGTGCCCAGCAAGTCGCCTCCCCCTCCTCCTCAGGAGCCAGCTCTCCCCCTCCACGTCGAGGAGGAGTGTTTCGCTGTTCCCTACAGTGTGGAGAAGACGTGCTACAGAGATGAGGTTGTCTCGCGCCCCTCCAGCTGTCCTCACCCCACTTCTCACGAGTTCTGTGCTGTCAGCCAGCAGGACGCCACTGGCAAGTGCCACCGCTTGGTAGAGCGCGAGGTCCAGTTCCAGTGCCCCAAGGCGTCGCAGCAAAAGCTCTGCGCCAAGGTGCCCAAGACCGTGAAGAAAAACTGCACGGAGCAGGTCGAGGAGAAGTTCGCCACCAGCTGCCCCAAGCAGATCAAAGTGCCCAAGTGCGAAATTGTGGCCAAGCCCGCCAGCGGCACGTGCATTGACTACGAGGCCTACAAGCAGGAGTATGACTGCTGGGGCAGCGAGACCACCATGGAATGCACAGTGGAGATGAGCGTCACTGCGAACAAATGCAAAAGAGAGGTCCAGACTCCCGAAGAGTACACTTACGAGGAGGTTGTGACTGAAAGACACTGCACCAAACGCAGCGCCATCGACCACGGCAAATGCCTCCGCAGCACAGTCACTGAGGAGCAGTACCCCTGCAATGAGCAGAAGTGGGAAAAGAAGTGCCAAGACGTCAAGAAGGTTGTCCAAGAGCCCTGCGAGAAGCAGGTCAAGGGCCTCGAAACCTACGACTGCAGTGAAATCAAGACCCAGCAGGTGCCCAAGACATGCACCCGGCGTGTTCCCCTCAAGGCCAAGGTCGAGAGGTGCGGTGACTACAAGAAGAAGGGAAGACTTCTCGCCGGGAAGAAGGGCAAGTGCAGGATGGTTGAGGTCGACACTGAGGAAATCGAAACCTACCCTTGCACTGAAGACGTGCACATCTCCGTGCCCAAAGTCTGCACGCGCGAAGTCAACCGCACGCAGCAGCACATGTGCCCCCGCGAGGTCCCCGACGTCCAGTGCGAGATGGAACTCAAGGAAATCCCCAAGAACTGTGTCCGCCAGGTGACCCAGGAGGAGGAGGTGCCCTGCTCTGCAGTGCAGCACTTCAACGAGTGCCAGGACGTGCCCCGCAAGGTGCAGCGCAAAGGCTACCGTTTCTCCAGCCGGCAAGAAACCTTCGACTGCCCCCGCCACGAGTTCTTCGAGAAGTGCCACGAGATCAAGAAGCCCCGCAGAAGCACCTGCTATGCGACTCTCTTCAGGCACATCGAGAAGCCCTGCGAACACCACGAGTTCGAGGAAGTTTGCAACGACGAGGAACAGACCGTCGACACTCCTTGCATTGACACCCGGCTCGCCGAAATTGAATTTGCATGCCCCGAACACATCGAGGAGGAACACTGTGTCAACGTTCCCGCCTACGAGATGGGCACTTGCACCACTGTTGTGCAGGAAAGCGAGGAGTACCCCTGCCCCAAGCGCGAGCCCAGGATCCGCTGCAAAAACGTCCGTGGCGAAAGGATCGGCACTTGTTTCAAGCCTGAGACCACCCGGGTCCCATACACTTGCTACGAGACAGACTACAAGGAGCAATGTGTCCAGCTTGCCACCACCGAGGCGCCCCCCCAGAAGGTCAAACCCGCAAAGAAGTAAATGTGGGGCTCGAGGCCTTCCGAATATTCATCCACCCATAATATTCACAATGAGTGAGGCCGCAGGCCTATGGAATATTCATCTGTCAATGTCCACATAATGAGTGGTGTGTACCCAGGAGATATGCATCGTTTGTTTTTCGGTATTTAGTAGCACTGTCTTCGAGGCTGACGACAACAACTGTCCCCTCAACCGCAGTGAGAAGGAGTAGGAGATGCCGCTTCCCGTGGACCATTGCAGCGGCAAAATCGTGAGCGGCAACAACTGCTGCTGCTGCTCCGATCCCGGCTCCCGTAGCTGCTCCCACAGCATTGGTATCTGCAGCAGCTTGGTGGAAGAGGCTTCAACATATACAGCAGCAGCAGCAAGTGCTGCTACTGCTGCTGTCAACGTCTCTTCAACCTTTGCGCTGCACCAGCGGCACTGGAGATGCAGCAACAATGAGAATAGCAGCAGCGAGGATTAATGCTGCTGTTTCTGTTGCGGCACGTGCTGCTGCAAAAGGGTCAGTAGCACCAGTTGACTCAGCAACAACGTGAACAGCGTCAGTACCAAGTGCTGGTGCGACCGCTGTTTCTGTTGCAATCCTGCTGCTGCGAAGCCCGTCATCCGCAGCGTGTCTGAGGAACATCATGTCAAACTTCTAGAGTTTGTATACACCATCCCCCTCAATCGTTTTCCATCATTCTTTTCGTTTATAAACTTTTTCGCCCGCTAAAATTATGGGAAATTACGACTTTCTTGTTTTAAGTAGACTTCCTTAGGACTGCAGCGCGGAAAGTGTGGGGCGCTTTATATTTGCAACGGAGCAATGTGTCCTCTGCGATATATAGCGTTATAACTGTTTCATTCCTTTTTTTTTCTTGTTGTTTAGTTTACTTATACTGATATAAGCAGTACACTATCAGCAGCACACATGTTTGTGGTCCATCTAGTGTAACACCTGCACTTATTAACGAGAGCAATATCTCTGTAATGGGAGTTTATCTCCTTTAACCCAGGAAGTAATCGATATTCATGAAAAGTTTTTAAAAATGAAAACAATTCTTCTGGAGGATGAATTTCCAACCACGCACGATTCTAGTAGTTCACAACAACCCATCGCCACTGTGCGTGATGCAGCCACTGCTGAAACTGCAAATTATGCTTCCATTGTTGCTGAATGTTGACAATCTCGTGAATAATTCTTCATTTGTAGCAGAAAGGAAGCAATTATCAGCAGTCTTCGGTGTATTGGTGAATTGAAGAGTTTTTTCTTCACTTCTCTGTTAACTGGTCCATTGGTCTGAAGAAGATCTTGAGATGCTTCTTTCCTCGTCAGTGACCTTCCACACTTGCTGCTGTGCCGCTGTCACCTTTCATGCCTGTATATTTTTAATTTTCAGTTTCATGTGCGTTTAATCGCTTCACACGAAAGCAAACACAGCCTGTGCTCTGGCAGCGCACTTCACCGTTGCCGACAGCGCACCAGTGGCGTGTACGGGCCCACAGTAAAACCCTTGAAATAACGCACGCTTAGATTAAAATGCGCTAAATTAGTTGTCAAATGTAGACCGGGGCGTCGTTGTGGCTTTCGGGGACATGTTATTCCAGGCCTTCTGTGGTGTAGTGTCTACTGCCTGCTGCAGCATTCCTCTCATCTGCCCCAAACGCGGCAACACTGCTGCAGAGGGAGCTCAAGTTGTTTGTTGCGGCTGTCCCACTCGCTACCAGAGAGCATACTGGCCCTCGCTGCCTCAGGGTGAGCAGCAAGGGCAGTAGCTGCAAGACAGCAGCACCAGGAGTAGCACTCTTACCGGCGGCAGTGTCTTGTGATTGCCGCCTTGCTGTTGTGCAGGAGCACCCCTTGGAGCAGCGGCGGCTCCACAAGCAGCAGTGGTAGAACCCGCAGCATCAGCAACTCCTGAAGTAACAGCAACGCCAGCACCATCACTAGAGCCGTCACCGCAGCAGCCAGCAACAGCAGGAGAAACAGCGGCAACAGAAGCAGACAGAGCAGTACCGACGTTCGTCAGAGAAGAATTAGA